CCAATGATATCCCCCCCCCCCCCCCAAGTTTAGGGTTAGAGTGATTGACTGACCAAATACTGAAAGCCAATCTACAGGGACGGAGGAAGGTGAAAAGCAAGGCTGTTGCTTTGCAGCAGCCACTTACCTCTTGCAAATTTCAGAATCTTTCAAATCTCAAAAGGTCTCCACTAGTTTCCCCAACATGCATACACTCCACATGTATGCACAGTGCATATGGGCACGAGTATGTACACATTCATGTATGTAAACACATCACAGAAGTCTGTCCTATCACCTACCACAACAGACATCCCTGCAGTGACAAATCCCTGTTGTTCAGTGTTGTCAGCCGGCCTACTCATCAGATCATGACGCTCTACTTGAAAGCAGAGCATAATGCTGGGTTTTCAGTGGCCGCTCTTTGCCCTCCAGTTCCTCTCACACTCAAAACAACCCAAGCTGAGAAATTTGAACCCAGATGCAAGCCCTCCCAAAGCTTAGAGACAGGATACTGGATCCAAAGTTCTGCCACGGCAGTCAGCAGCTTTTTCCCTATTTTTTTTTTGTTTTAAAAAGAGAACTAATTTCCACATGCAGTGGAGGTAAAGAGAAATAGCCTGAGACAAATACTACCAAAAAAAATAATTATCACCAGTTATTAGATAAAAATAGTTATCAGTACATAGTTCAAGGATAAGTTATTTGGTAAGGACTTAAATTAAAGGATACTTAAAATTTACAGCATATGCATTTGTCCTGTAGCTATTTAATTACAATTTTAGGCTCTCAAAACCTTGCCACAGCATTTAATTGCCTGTACTGAATATCCCTCTAAGTGATACGATATTATGCATGTACTAGATTTATCCTGTATACAGTATTAATTGTAACATCAATTACCAGAGATATTAAGTATGCACAATTCCTGAAAGTGATTTCTTTAAAAAGATACAAAAAGGGGCAAAAAAGCAACTGCTGAGATTGTCTTTTGGGAAACTATTAAACGTGTACTGAAAACTAAGTGAGGACAAACAGCTGTCTTTATCTCTGGCCTGCTGAAATATCAGTCAAAGCCCACCATGGCTTGTTAGCAGAGATTATCACTGGAAAGAGCTTGCAGCTGTTCTGCTCTGCCTCCAGTAGCTGTGATCACTAGCTGTCGCAGCACTGATATAAAAGCACTGCATATTACAGGGATTATCTGGATATTATGTGGGCAGACTGAACCCCCCCCTTGCAAACATCTAATGTCTCACATGTGGTAGCCAGGAGATAACCACATCCTTGCAGAGCTGAAAAGCATAAAAAGGTCCAGGTGATGAAGTCATATATCCTTGCTCCAAGGGAGTGATCATCTCAGTGTCATCTCCAGAGCTGCTTTCCTGCTCATTCATGTCTGAAGGCTTAATGGGCTGAAAGAGGCTTAAAGACTATGGCCAAATTTCTCCTCTTTGATCCACACCGTATTCCTCAGCCTCAGCATGTTGTCCCCCTTGCGCATCCAAGTCTCCTGTTGATGTCACAGAGCAATGCCTAGGCTGCACTCCTGGGTCTCAGCAGGGTGAAATGTCTGCAAGTCCAGGCCAACTACTATGCCTGATACCAGTTCCTCTGCACTTCGACAGCAGTAAAGAGGGGACAAGAGACAGCAAAGGGAAAAAGGAGGAGGCTAGGTTCTCTAAGCTATTAATTCAGATGGGCAAAGGAAAAATAAAGTCGGGGGAGTGGAAGGGAAACATGGCTGCCGTGAAATAGTATTTATTTTACAGAGATTCTCATACATTGTACAAGTACTTCCACCAATTTTCAGGAAGCTACGCTGATTTGCCCCACTGAACATCTACATCAAGCAGGTGTTTCAGCAAATGTTTATAGCAACTCCACTGTGATTCCCATAAATCCCTGCAACCCCCAAAATATTTGCCATGACAAATAACTACCTACAGGTAGAGTCCATCGCACCAAGCCTGGTACCATCAGAGGCACTTATGGAAAAAATTTTTTTTTTGAGTTAGGATTTTGGCTGCTTTGATTTTTCATGACTACCATATTTTTCCAAATACAAGATGACTTCAACTTTAAGACAATCCCCCACCCCAATAATTAGGTTCTATATATAGGAAATTTATAAATCTGTTATAATTTTCCATGTATAGAATCAAGCTATCAGAGGGTCATCTTAAAATCATTCCTCCCACAGCTGCAGCGTGAAAAGCAGCAGCAGAGGGGAAAGCAGCCTGACCCTTGTCCCCCACATACCTTGCCCAC